TGTTACTGTTAAACCTGCTGATCTGCAGCTTACCCTAACTCCAGAACCTACTAAGGAGGTTCAGTCATGTCCAACCCAGCATGAGGTCCTATCTGAGCCTCCAGAGACTCCTGAGAAGGTAAAACCTTCTTCAGTTCAGCCTCCTAATGAGGTCAAACCTTTTCCCATCCAGCAGGAGGCCCCAACTAAGCCTCCAGATCCCGCTGAGGAGTTTGAGCTTTCTCCAGTCCAACTAGAGGTTCCACCTCAGCATCCAGAGCCCCCAAATGAGGTTTTAACCCTACCTTCGTTGCATGATGGAGTGACAATTCAACCTCCAGGTCATCCTCAAGCTCACCATTCAGTCTCGCCTAAAGTATCAGTTAAACCTATGGTTGAGCATTCTCCAACAAAATGGGATGCCCCAGTTCAGCCTTTAGAGTCCCCTGAGGACGTTGGACCTTTTTCAACCGAGGAGCAAATCCCAGCTCAGCCTCCACACCCACCTAAGGAGGTCGAACCTTCTTCAGTCAAGCAGGACGACCCAGTTCAACCTCCAGATCCCCCTGACAATTACCAACCTTCTCCAGTTGAGCAGGAGGGCCCACCACAGCCCATAGAGCCCAGTAAGAAGGATGAAACTTCTCCAACCCACCAGGAGGACCTAGCTCAGCCTCTGGAGCTCCTTGAGGAGGTTGAACATTCACCCATTCAAGTGGATGACCCAACACAGCCCCCAGACTCTGTTAAAGAGAATGAGCCTTCGCCAACCCAGCAGGAAGACCCACCTCTACCTCCAGAGCCCCCTGAAGAGGTTGAACCTTCTCCAGCCTTGCAGGAGAGCCTAGCTCAACCTCCAGATTCCCCTACAGAGGTTGTAACTCAACCAGCAGGGCATCATGAGGTAACGGTTTCACCTACAGGTCAAGGTGAAACTCAGCATGCAACGTTACCAAATGTCACAGTTAAATCTCTGTATCTAGAGCTTACTATAACTACAGAAACCACTACAGAAGTTCAACCTTCTCCAGAACAGCAGGAGGTCACAACTCAATCCCTAGAGTCCCTTGTTGTGGCTGAACCTTCTTCAGGCCATCTGGTAGGCCCAACTCAAACTCCAGAGTATCCTACAGAGGATTTACCTTCTCCAGACCAACAAGAGGCCCCAGCTCAGCCCCCAGAGTCCACCGAGGAGGCGGAACTGTATCCAGCCTTGCAGGAAGCCACAGCTCAGCCTCCAGAGTCTCCTACAGAGTTTGGACCCTCTCCAATCCAGCAGGAAGACATAACAGAACCTGCAGATCCCACTGAAGACGTCCAACTTCCTTCAGGCCAGCAGGAAGCCCCAGCTCAACCTCCAGAGCAACCTGAGGAGTTTGAACCTCCTTCAAACATACAGGAGACCCCAACTGAGACTTCAGAGCCCCCTACAGAGGTTGTAACTCAACATCCAGGGCATCATGAGGTGACAGTTTCACCTACAGGTCAGAGTGAAGCTCAGCACCCAGTGTTGCCCAATGTCACAGTTAAACCCCTGGATCTGGAACTTACTATATCTCCACAACCCACTACAGAGATTGGACCTTTTCCAATCCAGCTAGAGGCCTCATCCCAGCCTCTAAAGCCCCCTGAAAAGGTTGAACCTTCTCCAGTCCAGCAGGAAGCCACAGTTCAGTTTCCAGAGCCCTTGGAGGGGATAGAACCTTCTTCAGCCCAGCAGGAGACACCAGCTCAGTCTCCCGAGCCCGCTATGCCAGCAGAACCTTCTCCATCCCATCAGGAGGCACCAGCTCTTACTCCAGAGCCCCCTAAGGAGGTAGAATCCTCTCTGGTTCAGCAGGAGACTCCACCTCAGCCTCCAGAGTCTACTACACAGGTGGAAGCTTCCCCAAACCAGCAGGAGATCCCATTTCAGACTCCAGAGCCCCCCAGGGAGGTTGAACCTTCTCCAGCCCAGCAGGAGGCCCCAGCTCAATCTCCTGAGCCCCTTATGCAGGCAGAACCTTCTCCATCCCAGCAGGAGGCCACAGCTCTTACTCCAGAGCCCTCTAAGGAGGTAGAGTCCTCTCTGGTCCAGCAGGAGACTCCACATCAGCCTCCAGACTCTCCTACACAGGTGGGAACTTCCCCAAACCAGCAAGGAGTCCCATTTCAGACTCTAGAGCCCCCTAAGGAGGCTGAACCTTCTCCAGCCCAGCAGGAGGCTCCAGCTCAGTCACCTGAGCCCCCTATGCAGGTAGAACCTTCTCCAATACAGCAAGAGCCCTCATCTCAGCCTCCAGAGCCCCCTAAGGATTTTGAACCTTCTCCAGTCCCGCAGGAGATCCCAGCTCAGTCTTTAGAGCCCCCTATGCAGGTAGAACCTTCTCCAATGCAACAAGAGACCCCACCTCAGCCTCCAGAGCCCCCTGAGGAAGTCCAACCTTCTCCAGTCCAGCAGGAGGCTCCTGCTCCACCCCAAGAACCCCCTGCAAATGTACAACCATCTTCAGTGCAGCAGGAGGTCCCAGCTGCACCTTCAGAACCTCCTAAGGAGGTAGAGCCTTCTCCAGTCCAGGAGGAGGCCCCAGCTCTGCTTCCAAAGCCTTTTGAGAACGTCCAACCACTTCCAGTCCACCAGGCGGCCTCTGCCCCACCTCCAGAGCCCTCTAAAGATGCTGAACCTTCTCCAAGCCAACAGGAAGCCCCAGCCTCACCTCCAGAGCCCCCTAAGGAAGTGGAGCCTCCTCCATCCTTGCAGGAGGTCCCATCTCAGGCTCCTGAGCCTTCTAATGAGGCTGAACCTTCTCCAATTCAGCAGGAAGCCCCAGTTCATCCTCCAGAGCCCCCTAAGGAGATAGAACCTTCTCCAGTCCACCAGGGAGCTCCAGCACAGCCTTCAGAGCCTCCGAAGGTGGAGGAATCTTCGACAACCCAACAGGTGGCCCCAGCTCAATCTCTGGAGCCTCCTAAGGAGGGTGTAGTTCAACTTCCAGTGCTTCACGAGGTGACAGTTTCACCAACAGGTCAATATCAAGTTCAGCATTCAAACTTACCCAGCGTTACAGCTCAACCTTTGGACCTGGAGCTTACCATAACTCCGGAACACACTATGGAGGCTGAACATTCTACAGCCCCACAGAAGACTACAGCTCCTCCTCCAAATTGTCCTGAGATGACCATTCCACATCCAGACCAGTTTCAGGGTCAGCATCCAAATCTGACTGAAAGTACAGTTCAACCTTTGGACCTGGAGCTTACTATAACACCAGGACCCACTACACAGGTTGAACATTCTACAGCCCTGCAGAAGACTACAGCCCCTTCTCCAAAGTGCCCTGAGGTTACACTTCTACATCTGGACCAGGTACAGTCTCAGAAGCCAAACCTGACTAAAGTCACAGTTCAACCACTGGACCTGGAGGTTTCTATAACTCCACAACCCGATATGGAGGTCGAACCTTCTCCAACCAAACAGGAGACTCCAACTCAGCTCCCAGAGCCTCTTAAGGAGGTTGTGACTCAACCTCTAGTGAATCACGAGGTGACAACTCCACCGTCAGGTCAGAATCAAGCTCAACATTCAAACTTGCCCAAAGTCACAATTAAACCTGTAGACCTGGAGCTTACCATAACTCCAGAACCTGCTATGGAAGTTGAACATTCTACAACCCTGCAGAAGACCACAGCTTCTCCTACAAAGCAAGTCACCATTCAAACTTTGGACCTGGAGCTTACCATATCACCAGAACCGAATACAGAGGTTGAGTCTACTCCAATCAAGCAGGAGACTCCAACTCAGCCTCCAGAGCCTCCTAAGGGGGTTGCAGCTCAACATCCAGCACATCATGAGGTGACAGTTCTACCTTCAGGTCAAGATGAAGTTCAGCATTCAAACTCACCCAATGTCACAGTTCAACCTTTGGACCTGGAGCTTACCATAACTCCAGAACCTAAAACAGATGTTGAACTTTCTCCAACCAGGCAAGAGACCCCAAATCAGCCACCAGAGCCACCTGAGGAGGTTGTAGCTCAATTTCCAGTGCACCATGAGGTGACAGTTCCACCTACAGGTCAGGATCAAGCTCAACATTCAAACTTACCCAACATCACAGTTAAACCAGTGGACGTGGAGCTTACCATAACTCCAGAACCCATTAAGGAGGTTGAATATCCTACAGTCCTGCAGAGGACTACAGCTTCTTCTCCAGAGTATCCTCAGGTAAAATTTCCACCTCCAGAACAGGTTCAGGCTCAGCATCCAAACCTGACTGAAGTTACAGTTCAACCATCGGACCTGGAACTTACCATAACTCCCGAATTCACTTCAAAGACTGAACATTCTACAGCCCTGGAGAAGACCACACCTCCTCCAAAGCAAGTTACAGTTCAACCTTTGGATCTAGAGCTTACCATATCTCCAGAACCCACTATGGAGGTCGAACATTCTACAGCCCTGCAGAGGACCACAGCTTCTTCAAAGAAAGCCACAGTTCAGCCTTTGGATCTGGAGCTTACCATACCTCCAGAACCCACTATGGAGGTCGAACATTCTACAACCCTGCAGAAGACCACATCTCCAAAGCAAGTTACAGTTAAACCTTTGGATCTAGAGCTTACCATATCTCCAGAACCCACTATGGAGGTCGAACATTCTACAGCCCTGCAGAAGACCACATCTCCAAAGCAAGTTACAGTTCAACCTTTGGATCTAGAGCTTACCATATCTCCAGAACCCATTACAGACGTCAAACATTCTACAACTCTGCTGAAGACCACATCTCCTCCAAAGCAAGTTACAGTTCAACCTTTGGATCTAGAGCTTACCATATCTCCAGAACCCATTACAGACGTCAAACATTCTACAACTCTGCTGAAGACCACATCTCCTCCAAAGCAAGTTACAGTTCAACCTTTGGATCTAGAGCTTACCATATCTCCAGAACCCACTATGGAGGTCGAACGTTCTACAGCCCTGCAGAAGACCACATCTTCAAAGCAAGTTACAGTTAAACCTTTGGATCTAGAGCTTACCGTATCTCCAGAACCCACTATGGAAGTCAAACATTCTACAGTCCTGCAGAAGATCATATCTCCAAAGCAAGTTACAGTTAAACCTTTGGATCGAGAGCTTACCATAACTGAGCAACCAGGATCACCTGAGGGAGTTATTTTTTCCCCAGCAATTCAGCATTTATTGGAGTATTCTGTAAATTACACCCCAGAAAGGAGGCAAAAAGCTCCAACTGAGCAACAGGAACAGAATGCCATCACGCATCACCCCCTAGAAAGGACAGAAATGGCTCTAACTGAGCGACACAAACAGAATGCTGTCACACATCACACCCTAAAAAGGGTGCAGATGGCTTTAACTGAGCAACCAGAACAGAATGCCACCAATGGAATGAAGACTGGCATATGTGAGCTCTGTATCTGCCAAAACGAAACGCTGTCCTGTACTGGCCTCCCCCCAGAGAAGAGGCTCCTCAGAGTCCCTGTGCCAGAGCCCAACGAGTACAATGGCACCTTCACTGTCTTGTAAGAATTGCCCTTCCTCGTTTGTTCTCTGCCCCCTGTTCGACATGACAGCCTTTTCCTGGAGGTCTGCCTGGGCTTCCTCATCTTCCCAACTCACGTTGAGCGACTTTCTTGTTTACCTTTTGTTTGTCAACTTTTCCTTGTCCTCATTCCTCTCCTTACTATAGTGCCCACTTCTCCAGGCTTTTACTTGTGGTTGCCCTCATTTTTCCTGACCCATTTTTCTTTAGCCCCATCATTTCATGCCTTAACCTCTGCTCTCTTCCCAATTTTGCTCCATCCTCTTTCCAGGATCATGTTCCTCTTTCCATCTCGTTGGTGATGATACAACAAAGTGGTTAAAAGGAGAGATTTCGAAGCCAAACTGCCTGGGTTTGAACCTAGCTTGTGACTCAGTTTCCTCATCTGTAAAATTACTATCTCATAGGATTGTTGTGAGGTTTAAATAAGTTCATACATGTTAAGCATTTATATAAGCACCTAGCATATGTGAATGTTAGCTATTATTTTATTCCTCGGTTAGGTCCAGGTTTCTTCTTTGTCCCTGGCCTTCTATATATAGCACCTGTTAATATGCCCAATTCAGGGCTAGGTACTGCAGGAGCCACAGAAGTATGAGACATTAGCCTGTTAACATAACAATGATGATGGGAGAAAAATAATGTACATGAAAAGGGAAGTGGTGCATAATTAAGTACTAAAAGAGATGCAGACCATAGGTGCCCTAATTCACCAGAATCTGTAATCACCTACATGTGGAAGACAGAGAAAGCTGCATGGACAGGATAAAATTTTAGCTTAAAGAGTGACTGAAACCAAAATCCACTGCTGTTAAGTTGCTCCTGACTCATAGAGACCCGACAGGACAGAGTAGACCTGCCCCATAGATTTTCAAGGAGTGGCTGGTAGTTTCAAACTGCCGGCCTTTTGGTTAGCAGGCAAGCTCTTAATCACCGCACCACCAGGTCTCCTAAAAGTGACTAGGATTTGCTAAATCGAGAAAAATAGGGAATAAAGCCTAGGCAAAGGCATGGCTTCAGGAATGACCAGGATTTAGTAGACCAGTGTGGCTACAAAGCAATGAAAGATACGATTTTGAAAAACCTTGCATATCAGCTATAGAGGTTTGAAAGTTACACTATGAGCTATGGAGAGCCATTGAAGGTTTTCAAGCAGAGAGATAAATGATTAAAACAGGAGGATTATTCTAGAATCCATGTCTAGGGCCATCTAGAAAGGAAAGCTTGATTCAGGGAGACCAAATAGAAAGCTCTAGCAAAATCTAGGAGCAAAGGGAAAAGGGTTGAATCAGAGCAGGTGTGATAGGAATGGAAAGAGAATCCTATGAGCACTTCAAAGAAAAGGACAGGATTTGGTGACTGACTAGAGAGTTGGGGAAGTGGTGTACAGGAAAGAGAAAAACTCAAATATGACTCCAGAGTTTTTGTCCTGGATGATTGGGAGAATGATGGTGGCAGAACACACAGATGGATATCCAGCAGTCAGGAAGGAGAACCAGTGTGAGGAAGCCGAATTCAGTTTCAGGCATCTTTTGTTGGCGAGCATAAAGCTATCAGAAAGTTTCTGGTTGAGTGGAAATGTCCACCAGGCAGATGGGCACGCAACTTAAGTGTTTTGACTTAATTTCAAACGTCACCTATTTGTTGCTGAGGGAAAAGGACAGAGTTAAAGGTAAAGATTCAAAGTCATCTACAGAGTTAGTGGTTGAAACTGAACCTGAGGGGTTTAACAACTTATTTTAAACATATGTCATTCGTGGATACATTTCCATGGTATAATAATTGTAAAAAGTGTCACAGAAGAATATAGGATAGAATGTGGAAGTCCCCTCCCCTTCCCCTATCACCGGTAGAATAACGCCTGTCACCACTGAGTATGTGTCCTTCCTTCCAGTCTCTTCCCTTTGCATTTGCATACATATACGTGTTTATATTAATGAGGAAACATGTTACTTCTTGCTCAGCGATTTGCATTTTTTTCATTAAGCAATATGCCTAAGAGATCTTTCCACGCCAGTCCATCAGTCCCTCTAGTTTCTAATTGCCCTTATCCTTCCAACGCCTGGAGAGGTTTCAACAGTGGGCCCTTCACCAAAGCTGTGGTGTTGCCTGGCATGCATTTTCTTTATACGTATTTGCTGATAATGATAAAGGAGAAGAAATTGGGCAGATAGGAAGGTCAGGTTCTGAGGAGTTGGCCTTATCATTTGTGCCACTGCCCTCTACAGTCTGTCTTTATTAATTGAGCCAACTTGGCGGCTGACAGCTGCAGAAATCAGAAAGCTGATATTTTCTGCATCTGAGTATTTCCCATAAGGTTGCCATGATTCTTTATACTTACTCTGTGCATTCTTATTCCTACCTATTCAAAGATATGAACCGTGTTTCTTCACAGAAATTTCAAAGGAAACTCTATTTCTTACATTGAGGAAAGTACTTGGAAGGCATACCCTTGGACTGAGAAACTGTGAGTATATCCTCTCCAAATACGATCACAGAAAACTAACTGCATTGTAAGATCCTTCTTGGTCCAGAATTTTGAGGCCAGTACCTCTGAGAAAAGATATTTTGCGCTCTCCATATCCCAAACTGACCTCTATGGATTGCAATTCTATGGTAATTTTTAAAATTAAATTTGGCAGGTTCTGTTTAAGTAAGACGATTTATCTTTTATTTTACAAATAATACATGATTCTATTCTCAGTGTATAAAACTGAAATAACAGGTGTAGTAAAAATCCTTCTTGTTCCCTAATCCGCCACCCTTGAGGTAAACACTTCTGAGTTTCGTGTATATCTTTCTAGATCATATTCTGTGCATTTGCCTAAACCATATTTACATATAGCAGAGTAGGTTTATTGCGTGTGTGTCTTTTTTTAATAGACTTTTTTTTAAGGGCAAGGATGCTTATTGGAGCACTTTTGGGGGGTTGGTTTTGAATTTTTTTGAGAGTAGAAAGCAACTTTATCCTTTCTACCTATAAGAATGCAATCTGAAGACTTCCCAGTCCTATGGATGAAATCCCATGGATGAAGCTGGGGAGCTCTATAACTTTTCCAATTACTCAGATAGTAAAATTCCTCTGATCACTTTCAGTCACAAGAACAGTAATAGTTCCAGTCCAGTGTCTCAATCACATTAAGTCTATACCCTCAATGAATTGAAAACTTCTCCCTTCCCCCAGCATAAGCCTTTTTTTAAACCTAGAAGCTCAAAATGTGGCTGGCTTCTCTGTTTCCTTGCGCTGCATCTCTCATTCTCCATCCCTCCATCCTACTTGCTGCCTCTGGCTTCTCGGAAGTTGGTGAGGAGAGTGGTGGAGAGGAAGAGGCTGATGTCCTCTGGTAGTGCTGCCCTCTGGGTATGGCATTTCCC